CTCCTCCTCCTCCTCCTCCTCCTGTCTCCCCCACCCCCGCAACTGCTTGTTCATGTCAGAAGGCCCTGCTGTGCACTAGGAGTTGCAGAGATGAGGACCCAAGTCTTGCTCTCCAGGAGCTCCAGAGCCCCAGGGGCCGGGGAACACCCCTTTTCTGGCAGCCACTCCCAGCTTCAGTTTCCTGTAATCATGGTAGATTTTCCAGACTCAGCTCAAATAGTGCCCCTCCTAAGCTGTGACTTCGCCCCTAGCCTGAGGTGCCCTTTCCCTCCTGTGAACTGAGGGCAGTTATTCCCTGTTGAGTTCACTTGGCAGGTTTGTACAGTGCCTCATTTAAATTAAAAGATTTAATGTCCATATTCTTGGTTTGTCTCCCTTTTTTATATAGTTTTAAACTATAAGCTCAATAAGGGCATGGAACATACTTTGAACGCAGAGTTCTTAGCTTTTATGGCACTTAGTATGAAGCTTTGCTCAGGATGTGTACAGCCCAAGCAGATGAAAGCCACAGGAAATAGGAATCATATTTGAGCTCTGTGTAGAGCAGGTAGGGTGTTAGTGGAAGAGAAAGCCTGAGAGGCAAACGAGTTGATGTTAATGAATACCTAATAGAGTAGATCCTGGGCACTGTTACTGGGATGTGCGTTCTATCATAAGTGGAAATTTGATCATATACTAGTTCTTGCTTTCAGTTATCTGAACAGGCTATGTGGCAGGGTCCAGTTGATGTCTTCCTTGCCAGAGAACTCCAGCCTTAATGAGAAATGTGAACTCTGGCCTCCAGCCTTTGCTCTGAGCTACATCCCCACCATCCCCTCCACCCTTATATTGAAATATGATCTCACTAAGTTGTGCAGGCTTAAGATTCTTCTGCCTTACCCTCCCAGTGTGCTGGGATTACAGGTGTGTGCTCCATCATAATGTCCAGGTTTTATCCCTAGTTTTGTTTCCACTGTTAGTCTCTGAACATGTCTGCCTATCCCTACTATTACCGTCTTGGGACAGCTCAGCCCAGAGTTGAAATTAGGGATAGAGAATAGACTGGGTGGCAGTGTGAGCTGGAGGTCTGTGTGTCTCCCCGTGCTATGTGTTCATTTATGAAAAAATAGCATTCCAGGCTTTGGGTAAAGTAAACTTTTTTTTTTTTTCCCCAGAACTGGGGATTGAACTCAGGCCCTTGAACTTGCTAGGCAAGCGCTTATTCTACTAAGCCGTCTTCCCAGCCCCAAAGTAAACAGTGCTTAACCCTACAGCCTGTGGTCCACACTCATCCTTGCCTCTTGTGCTTCTTTCTCTGATTCCTTAGACTATTTCAACACAGTCCTTCTATAGGTTCTAGGGAGGGCCAGAGGTTGCTGGCAGTTTCAGACCATCCTGTCTTATCTCTAGGGCATCTGCAGGCTCTTGCAAATCCAGCTCTGGATTACACGCTGAGGAAAGGGTGGGATCTACTACTGGGCAGCAGTATAGCAGCTGGCTCTAAGAGGTGCAGACCTGAGTGCCAACATGAAATGAGGGCCAGGAGATAGCTCAGCAGAGTTAAGTGCTTGCCTGAGAAGCACAGGGTCCTGAGTTCAATCCCAGGTACAAAAAAAAAAGCAACATGAAATGAGCTGTGGCCCTGGCACTTCCCCATGTGGTCCTGGACAAGTCACCTGCTCTTGTTGGATTCAGTCTCTGCTCATAGGATGGTCATGGTAATGGCTCTGACAGGTGCCCAGTGCCCAGTGTGATAAGGGAAAGGACTGAGATCTCAGAAATCCAAGGATGACACCATCCCCTTCTGTGCTTTCTACTCTGGCTTGGCCTTAACTCATGTGGCAGCTCAACCTCCTCTCAGATTGTCTTCAGGGAATAGGCAAGGAGGATGGTGTTCAAGAAGATTCTGTCTTGGCTCCTTGTTTCAGCCAGGATGACACTGGCCTTTCAGGTCCTGGCTCACTGAGAAGGGGGGGGGGGTCCTCGGGCTTTGGCTGAGTAAGTTTAGGGGTGAGTGGTCAGGAGCTAAAGCCTCAGGAAGGAGAAAAGATGATATCAAATGTGCACCTCTGTGATGCTCAGTTCTGCGGGGGCACGTTGAGTGCTAGTCTCTGTGACAGGACATGAGCTGTCCTATGGGCTAGGTGTGTACACATCTGTGTGGATGCATCTTTGTGTAGGCTTTTTACCTCCTGATTGTTGCAAAGGGAAAACTTTGGGTTTCAGAGAGCAGGTCAGAGAAAGCTCTCAGGATTATAGAAATTCCACATTTTTCTGTGGTTTTAAATAAAGTTTTTTAATAAATAAAGTTTGTGTTTTTGAGGAGATTCCAGCTTCCTCAGTTCTTATTTATCTTCTAATTATCTCTAGAGCAGTTTAATGAACCCTCAAAGAACTTTCTGGCTTTGGTATTGATGACCCCTTTTAATCCAAATCCTGTTTAACTGAATACTTTCCTCTGTCCATCTCCTTGCTTGGGAAGAAAAAGAACAAGATGCCAAAATCTAGGGTCCATGCAGCAGGTCACATTCAACAAAATCCCAAAAGAGCTCAGTCCCTGACCTGTGAAGTCAGATTTGGGCTAACCAGCCTCCCCCTAGTATTCATACCCACCCCATATCCGGTACATGGTTAGTGAGTCACAGATTCATTCAGTTGAGTGATAAGGGAGAGGGGAAGCTTGGGGCATGTGAGTCACCCCTGTCTTCCACATGAAAGGTCAACCTGCCCATCCCCATGTTGCAGAGAGGGAGAAGGAGGCATCTGAGAACATCCCAAGGATCTAAGGGTAACCAAGAAGAGGGGTGTTCCAAACCCAGAGGAAGATTTGTTCTGCCACTTTAACTTATAGTTTTTCTGATTTATGTGCAGCATAGGTGTAGGAACTCATCCAGGGTCAAACAGGGAGTTGGGAGCAGGGACACCACAGAGAATCAAGTGTGCTGGCTCCCAATAAACTACCTGCTGCTGACTGAGCCTGGCCTTGGGCCCAAGGGGTGAGTTGGGGAGGAACAAAGAAGTCTGAGGTACAAATCTTTCTGGTAGGGCAGGCAAGAAGAACAAACTCAGGGGCCTCTCTCCCTCTGCCCAAAGCTATTTATTACAGCTGTCATTAGCAAGACCCAGAGAAGCAGGGTCAAGACAGGGGTAGCAGGTAGGAGTAGGAGCATTCTGGTGCACCCCAGCTCAAGTCTAAATCTCTGCTCATTGGCCTGGGAATACCTGAAAAGGGAGCCCCAGTTCTCTATTCTTCCAGACTGGAAATCTGCAGAATGGGGTCTGCAGCTCCCTAAATTTGAAGAGGCCAAGACTGCGCCTTAACTAAAGGGGCAAGGGAGCAACTGTCCCCTTGTCAACTGGCAGTTCAGATGAGAACAATCATCAGTTATGGCAGCCCTGCCTTTCCCTAATCTCCCTTCCTAGCACCCCCACAGATACACGCATCATTGCCCCACCTCTGGGGGCACTCTGGAGCCCAGTTCTCAATGGCTGTAGGAGCAGACACTCTCAGGAAGTTCATTCTTGAACTCTGACTGCCCAATCTCTTGGTGCACACTGTCACCACCCCTGCACCCTTCCCCTGTGACTGCTCTCATTTTGGGCGGGTTACTGGAGGCTGCACTGTAATTAGCAGTGGGATGAGGAGCGAGCACCCTGGAGCTCACTCACATTCTGCCTCTCCCATGTGCTAGGCTCAAAGCTGCCTGTCAAGTCCAGGCCCCCTGCCATTGGACCATGGGCCCCTTGGAGAGCAATGATACAGCTGGCCCCTGGGCCCCACCTCAGCTTCAGCTCCCACCCACCCAATTCTACCCACCTTTAATTCCTTCAGTTTCTTGCTTCTCTGCTGCCTTACTCTGCCTCCTAAATCCCCAATTCATACCTTTCTCCCTCCCTTCACCATTGCACTACATATAGCCTCTTTCTCTCCTTTATGGCCTCTTTCCAGGCCTCCAGGCCTCAGCCTCTCCTTTTCCAACCTGCCATCCACTCAGCTGGCAAGATCTTTCCATCTAGCTATGAAGACCATGTTAACACACACACCCCGCCTTAGTTTAATGCCTTCAGAATTCCCCTAGCCACTGTTTTTGTTTTTTGTTTATGTTTGTTTGAGACAGGGTCTCAATATGTAGTCTAGGTTGGTCATGAACTCCTTATGTAGGTCAGACTTGTCCCAAACTTAATCTGATCCTCCTTGTATCAGCATGCTAAGTGTTGCGATTACAGGTGTGTGCCACCATGCCTGGCCCAGCTACCTTTCTTAGTTGGGGAACATTTGCCAATTGTAATCTTACTGAGAACCTTGATGTAAGATAATTAAAATACTGTAGTTGAAGTCAGAGGTGTCCAGGGCTTTGCACCCTTGGCTTCTCTGTCTTCACTCCCAGTTACAGCAGTACCTGTGAAAGCTTCCTTAGAGCCCTGGTTTTAGGGAAGTACAGTTTAAATATTTCCTGTCTCTTCCAGGCCCTTAGGACATGACTCAAGGCCTTCCCTATTACCCGCATTTCCTTCCCTGGCCTTTCTACCACTGTTCTCTTTATGCCCAGACAGGCAGCTATCTCTAGTAGAGCCTGATCCAGCAATCTCTCACCTGAAAAACCCTCCACAAAATCTCCAGCCAAAAGTTTTCTCTGTGTCAGGCATGGTGGCACATACATTTAATCCCAGCACTCAGGAGGCTGAGGCAGGAAGATTGCTGTGAGTTTGAGATCAGCCTGGACTACATAGAGAGTTCAAGGCCAGCCTGAACTGCATAGTGAGACCTTATTTTTGAAAAAAGAAAAGAAAACTGAGCTAGGGAGATAGCTCAAT